ATATTTGAGACCTAGTAGCACAAAGCTATCCTGAATTCTTATGTGTGTCAATTTTAATATTTTCATAATTTTGTATGTTTATTTTATAAATTAAATAATTAATTTTTATCATATTTAATTGGAAATAGTATATACCTATGGGTTCCAGGCTCGATATTTGAGGCCCAATAGCACCAAGCTATCATGAATTTTTATGTGTCAATTTTAATATTTTCATAATTTTGTATGTTTGTTTTGTAAATTAAATAATTAATTTTTATAAATTGGAAAGAGTTTGTGTTTGATCTATCAGTATAAAAGATACTTAAACTACAGGGATTCTACGCTAAAAGGCTCTACATTTTACTACGCTAAAAGGGCACTAGTCTTTAAGCAAATAAATACTCTAAACTAGATAAAAATAACAAATACATTTTAATCACAAAACAAACACAAAACACTAATATCTTAGTCCGGATAAAAATAACATACTAGTTTAATCGCAAAAAAACAAAATTACAAAACAACATGGAAACATATTCAAAACAACTAATATGCATTATTATACGAGTTTCGACATAAACTAAATCGGAATACCTCAATTTATGTTTTTCGGAAAGTCGATGAATTGTAAATTTGAGCCCGAAACGAAGAAACCATAACAATAGAAGGTTTGGCTAGGATGTGGGACCTACAAACTTATCTTTTTGTGTGACGGGTGGGGATCCACTACAATATTTTTAGAAGGAAATTTGGGGGGGAGGGAAATCAGAATTTTGAAATCGGGCGGGGTGGGGGGTGGTCATCTGGTTCGAATGTGGGGAAGAGGGAAGGGGACCGTTTATTTATGTATAGCGCGATATATAACTGTGCTATACATATATAGCACGGTTTATATACCGCGTTATACACAACTGTCTTATTAACCATATATAGCGTGATTTATAGTAATATTATTTATATATATATAATGATATTTAAAAGAATGTTATATATAGAAATGTCACTTTTTTTTTTAATACACATTTCTGTCACACTTATTCAAAAGAACCACAAATGGGTTGTGAACTCTTTTAACGAGAGAGATGTGAAATGATAAAATTTAGTGGGGCCGGTTATTGATAGCTTAAATTCTTATATGTGCAGACGTGTAAATCTAAATTGCAAATAACAGTGTGAAATGACAAATTTAAGTGGGGCCCATCAGATCATGACAAGTCTTCATGCAAGTGGAAATGGGGCTGATAATTTGTGCTTTACAATTGGCTCTAAAGTTCTCTTTATTCACCAAATTGTGTGATGGCAATTTCCGTAATAATATTAAAAAAAAGAGGCAAGTATATAGGAGAAGGAGAAAGAAATTGTCAATTGGAAATTTGGAGTAGGTTTATTATTCTGAATGTGAAACCTACTTCTTTGTCCGCCACGTTGGTTTGTATAGCAATGTATCACTTTAAGGAAAATTCCAGTCTTTGCTACTACTCTGCAAAGAAAAGAGAATTTATCTATTAGTCGTTTTGCCGTCGGCGGATATGTGGCCCACTTGAGTCCTCGTAAGTCGTAAGCAAACCTGACTTTTGTCATCGTCCTTACTACTCGCATATTGTTCTTTTTCATAGTTACCTACCCCTAATTAAAAAAGTTACGCTATTCTTGAACGAAATATTTTGTGAAAAATGTGATATTTAATTCAATATTTATGTACGTATAACATTTTGAAGATGAATAGCTCACAATTAATGCACAAGGTTATAAAAGAAGGAAGAAAGACATAAACGGTTCAGAAACAAGTCAGGGCGGCGGTACCTGAAAGGGGTAATAATCCAGTGCTCAGGCGGCCACAGTGCACGACGCAGCTCCTAATAGTGGCAGATATCGATGTCCAAAGGTTACCCCCGTATCACCTATTTTGACTTACCTGCGCTGTGAGAAACTGAAAAGACACTAACATATTCTACTACGCCATAATAGTAGTATGGTAGACAAGAAATACACCTTTTTTTTTTTTTTTTTTTTTT